GAAATGCTTTTTTAAGGAATTACGTAGGTTTATCAACAACTATTGATCCTATTTTCAAGTTTACTTACAATTTGCAAATTATACCTTTGTTACAAGTTCAGTCTCATACTCGTTTTAATGGCCTACTTATCTACTTTTGCGATGTTGTCACACGTAAAACACGATCTTTTTAAGAAGCGCAAATGTCATGCAGAGTATGCAACATGCATACACCATCCCAAGACCACAGGTGTTTCAAGTTGAAAAAGTACTTAAACTTAAGTACAAACTTCAAAATATGACATTTCAAAAAATGACATTGCCACAAAATTTTAAATATGAAATCGATGCATTTTATTATTCGTGTAATCTTTCATTCGAATAAAAAATAGTGTTCGATACGAGGGCGAAAATTTTTTTTTCGAACTCCTGACGGATTGACACCCTCGACTTCGTCTCGGGTCTCAAACGCCGTCGTCGTTCGAAAAATGACATTTTTCGCCCTTGTATCGAAAACTACTATTGTGTGCAAATAAACAATTCAAATGCAGTCTGATTAAGTTTTCCATCAAAAACTGATAATCTGTCATTCCATTTTATATAATTGTTTTGTAAAAAACTGGATGATGGCTTGTAAAACCGAGACAAGCTGGGGCAATGCGAAATTTGAGTTTAGTCGACCGGAAACTCTCGAATTTATAAATTTAAACGGAAATTAGCCATGAAACCAAGAATTAAAAAAAAAAAATCTCCATACTGCAAAATCGTAATGTCAACGTCAAATTGCGACAGTTCTTTGACAGTTAATCTAACTGACTGCTGAATGTTTTCTTTTCAAGTGTGAGTTTCAATTTAAATTTCAACTCCATTCAATTAGACGCCCCTTGAAATATTCTTATATTTTCCTTTATTGGAGTTTTTTGAAAAATTTGGCAATTTTTTGGATTTAAGGCGACTTCCAAGGTTCTTCCTCAAGGCAACCTTTGAAGCCAAACTTGAACTTTTAGGTGTCCAAACTCTAAACCTCCATAAGGGTCGAGAGTTTATCGCTGGCCAGTAAACCGGGTTTACATGAATTAGTAATTCATAAAATTGATTGCAAAAAAGTCATCTTCGAGTTCTTCCAAGGCCCGCAACAGCTGAATTTTTAAATTCAAGCGCCATTTTTGCCCAGGAAACATTCAAGTGGATTCAGTTCGGCTTCCGCCCCATACGAAAACCGGAACTATCTGCAAGAAAATTTGGCAATTTCCTTCGGATTCACAGCCTGGACAATTGAAAATCGCCGAAACAAACGCAGTCAGTAGTTTACATGTCGGCGGCTGCAAATGCGCACAGCAAGATAACCAGCAGAAACCCTTGAACTGTCGGCTGCTACGAATGCACCGGCTTTTTCCGACAAAATTACGAGAAATCTGGCTGACTGGCTCGTCGTTCAACAAGTTGTAGAGGCGGTGAAATTTCGATCGCAAATCCAGAGGTGAACGTTTCCTGATAATGGCCGGAACATTGACGAAACTGTGCAGGAGCTCCGGTCAGCTGTTGAGGGCGGAGACACAGCGACGGACTTGTAAGTAATTTAACTGGTTTCAATGGTTTTTTTTCGTTTGGTTCATTTGCATTTAGCTCCAGTGTAAACACCGGTTCTTGACCTGAAACAGGGACAAACTCCGGACCACTTTTAAAGTTGGTGAAAAGTCCGTTGGATTTTTCAAAAAACTGCTTATAAGGTTCTGTGCGCACCTTTAGGGGGGCTTTGGTTGGCTGGGTTTACATCGCTTTCCTTGCAAAGGAAATTGGAAAAATCGCTACTCACTTCAGCATAAAAACCCGGTGATTTTTGCGCGTTAAAAAATACGTTCTAATCCAGACCAGTGGGGTAAACAGTGTGCTTTTATTACATAATTTGTTGCATTCGAGTTTGCACTTATTATCAGTATTTGCTTTCAACTTTAGTATTTTTCGAAAACATCTTGTTTACTTTGCTATTACGGAGATAAATCCATGTATTTTATAAGCAATTGTTGGGATTATTAGATAATTGTTCTCTGGCCTTTAAGCTAGTTTTGAAACATTCACCTTTTGAAGTATTTAATGAGCTTAAAAAAATATTTAATTGCTTGGGAAAACACTTTTAAAGGCATTTTAAAAATGTTGAGAGTCTTAGAAGGTTTTACTTTATCATTTACTTAAGTAGAGTTTCTGTAGAGTGTGTTGTATGTTATTTTTAATTAATTTTAGTTCTCGCTTGTTGAACACCTTGGGAGTGTTCGAATAATCAATCATAATAGATTAACTTTCAATTTACCGGATAAATTCCACTTCCACACTCACGACGGCAATAAATGAAAAGTGCAAAATAACTACAATTATACAGAGTGTTGCTAAAATGCCTGGAAATGAACATACAAATACTGGTTTGACTAGTGCAGAATTTTCTCCGGAGCTTCGCTGTTTAAACGTGCTCAAGTTCTACACCACTGGAATTATCTGGTGGTACGTTGATCAGTTGGATTAAAAAATTAATTTCCTACAAAAAAGTACGCTTGAAAAAATTCACCAAGTCGAATGGTTTTTGAGAAATTCGCTTTATTAGGCTTTCGCTTAAATCACACCAAAGTTACGAGAAAACGCACAAAACGTGTGAAAATTACAGCTAAAAATCAATATTAAAATATAAAGTTCATGAAATTCGAGCAACTTATTTGGATTTTTGCACGTTTGTCCATACCTTTAAGTGACACTTTGTATACGGTAGACAAAAGTCTAAATAAATGGATTAAAATACATCAAACGCGGGTTTTACCGAAAGCGTTTTGTGAGCAAACTATCGATTTTACATAAAACTGAATTTTTTTTGCACATTTACGGAGAAAGTCTTAGGGTAAAATTGCTTCAGAAACTGTTAGCTAATTAAAGAAAATACGGTTGCTTTCTGATAATTGAAACCAGAGTAAATGACGATTGAATAGAATTGCAGGCGAATCTTCTATACAGAATGTTCATTCTTTATCGGCAAATTCTACAATGAAATGAAATGTATGTTGAAACTACTACTGGGCGGAAATATTTCAAAATTTTCCCAGTGCGTACCTGAACGAAAATTCAAAAAAATCATTTTTATAAATAATATATGGTAGCCATCGATGTTAACATCGAAAGGTAATATCGATGTTACGGAAACATCGAAGGCAGAACATCGATGTTTSACAACATCGATGTTCTGATAGTTTGCCGTTGCATACAAATTTCAAATTGATTAACTTAAACTTAAATAATTTYATTTTACTACTACTRTGACATTAAATAATCGACTAAATTTATTCAATTTRYAGTTGCCACATTTTTCGGTCAATTGAYTGCAAAAAGAGGGTYKTTTCGGGTACAGCTGGAAATAGGCCCCTACGGCGCRGTATCGTTTGCATCRGCACTATCAAAGAGTTCRYAAAAAATGTTTCTATCTAGTACCATCATCAAATGTCCGATGTTTTCATTTCAGGATCTAACATCGATGTTTTATCGATGTCCCAAATTTCCAACATCGATGGTAAAAATAGCGAACATCGAACGAATTACATCGATGTTTGCGAAACATAGTTTTTCTTCCATCGCTAATCCAAACTAAGCAAGCGTTTTTATGGAAAAATCCTCGTATCTGTTGTAAAATGTTGAAGACCCCATTCGGCTGTCAGCATCTCATAAGTTGGAAAAAATATTTTCCAGTCTAGACCCGCACTATCGAATTTATCGGGTTTTCGAAAGGGCAATATCCTGTCCTGCTTGAAATTCTCGACGACGAATGTTCGCTTAAACGCAGAGTGGGACTTCGAAAAATCAGCTTTTTAAACACTGTTACGGATGCACAATTTTTCTCGGTTTGCTCGATTGCTTCGTTTGGAATAAATCTCCAAACAAAATTTCTTCGTGTGCCTGAAACTAACGAAATCAAATCGAATGAAAATTATTGCCGATGCACTCAAGTAGCGCCTTAATATTCAACAAAATTTGCTTCGCAAGTCACATAAGCGGGTTCACCGCTCTTCGAGCAAAGGTAAAGAAACGATCCCGAGAGCGTCAACCAGCCAAGTTGGCTGAAGGGACTGGTTTGAATTATTTAAAATGCCCCAGCAGGTAAAAAACAGAGTTAATTTTAAAACAGAGCTGGAATAAGGCACGCCATACTGTAGACGTTTTTGCACTAGACTCCAGCGGGAAGAGGCTGGTGGTCAAGAACCCAGTGGTGGAAATGGACGGCGACGAAATGACCAGGATCATCTGGGAGAAAATCAAGGAGTCCCTCATTCTCCCCTACTTGAAACTCGAGTGCCTCTACTACGACCTCGGGTTGCCCTACAGGTACTTGTAGAGCCTCCCCATTCAAGCCCAGTAGGCGCAGTTTTTGTTTAGGGACCAGACAAACGACCAAGTGACCATCGACGCGGCCCATGCCATCCTCAAGCACAATGTGGGAATCAAATGCGCCACCATCACACCGGATGAGGCCCGAGTCAAAGGTACCATCCGAGCACCAACACTTTGCGTGGCTGATTGAGCGATTTGCAGAATTCAGCTTGAAGAAGATGTGGCTGTCGCCTAACGGCACCATAAGGAACATCCTAGGCGGCACGGTGTTTAGGGAGCCGATTCTGTGCAAGAACATCCCCAGGCTGGTTCCCGGATGGACGCAACCGATCTGCATTGGGCGTCACGCCCATGGCGACCAGTACAAGGCCCAGGATCTCATCATAGACAAGCCTGGAAAAGTAGCTGGGTTTCCATCGCTTCTACTGTAGTTTCATGCAGGTGTTCTTCAGGTGGAGATGGTCTACACTCCGGACAGTGGGGAGAAGGTCACAGTGGAGTTGTACCGCTACAAAGGGCCGGGAGTGGCCTTGGCAATGTACAACACCGATGAGAGCATCCGGGGGTTTGCTGAAAGCTCCCTACAAATTGCGCTGGCCAAGGGCTGGCCCTTGTATTTGAGCACGAAAAACACCATTCTGAAGAAGTACGACGGGAGGTTTAAGGACATATTCCAGGAAATCTACGAGGCGTGAGTTTGCACCCCCAACTAGCCAATGGTTGAGTTGAGGTTCGCACTGACTTGAAAACTTCCAGGAAATACAAGTCGCAATTTGAGGCCAAGAAAATTTGGTATGAGCATCGGCTTATCGACGACCAGGTGGCGCAGGCCCTCAAGTCCTCAGGTACCTCGCCCTCCACCTCTAACTCAATGCGAAATACTCCTCAAACTCCCTGTTGCAGGCGGGTTTGTTTGGGCGTGTAAAAACTACGACGGCGACGTCCAGTCGGACATAGTGGCTCAGGGATACGGTTCCCTAGGGATGATGTCCTCAGTGCTGATGTGTCCCGATGGGAAAACCATCGAGTCCGAAGCAGCCCATGGAACAGTCACTCGCCATTACAGGTATGGTCTAAACAGTCGAACCACTCCAAAGGTGATTGGTGTGCGACTTTAGGCAGCACCAGCTAGGGAAGCCCACGTCCACCAATCCGATTGCGTCGATCTTCGCGTGGACCAGGGGAATCGAGCACAGAGGCAAACTGGATGGCACTCCAGATGTGATCAAGTTTGCCCAAAATCTGGAAAAGGCCTGCGTAAACACGGTGGAGTCGGGCAAGTATACGAAGGATTTAGCAGCGTCCATAGCAGGCGGATTCGATAAGGTCAAGGACGACATGTACCTCAATACTCAAGACTTTCTGGATGCCATTGCTGAGGAACTGAAGCGGACAGTTTAGAGTGCACTGTTAGTGGAGTCTGAAGGAGAGAAAGCCAAGAAAGATGCTAACTAATGGATCATTGAGTGATGGAGTTTTCTTACAGTTCTTTTAATGTTGGATAATAAAACGCTATTTTTCTAGACTATGGTTTTTTGGCCTCATTCATGTCTTTCCTTCTCGGCTGATTCGAAATCCGCCTGGGCTCTATGAATTAGTCGGTTCTTTAGCACAGACTTAAATGAAGAGTTTTTAGAAAAACTATCGCTGAAACATAATATTTTTGCTTGTTTTTGACCCTTAGTGTTCAAATTATTCCATTAACGAACTAATGAATACTGTTGAGTTTTCCATTGCCCTTTATAGTCCTCAGAAACGTTTATCTCCAATTCTTTTATAAGAGCCGCTTCAGTTGATGATGGTTTCTAAAATACGAAACGTTGGAATTCTTTTTGATACACACCATCTTGTAGAATTTGAAATATGTTTGGCTTTTTGATATGATTTCAAATAACTTCAATAATGAATAAAAGCGAAAATCCGAAAAATCACTTGTTTCTAAGTACGCTATCTCGAAAATTATACAAAATACTCGTTTTTTGAAAACGCCATATATGTGGCCCCTTGATTGCGCAACTTTTCCTAATTTAACAGACTTTGTGTCTCTGACGTAGGCCTGGGTAACACTGTGTTGAGTTGCGCTATTGAGTTGCTTCCGCTCTCTGAGTTAACGAGTTATAACTCATCGGTTATTGAGTTATAAGTCCTTAATTAAAGCAAACCCGAGAGAATTTGCACATGCTAAAAAAAGGTCATCAACATTTTTTCTGCGTAACTTTGTTCAATCAACTAAAAAAAAGTCATCTAGATTCTCCCAGCAACAGAAATGAGTCCAAAGAAAGTCGACCAGTTTTCTTGTAAAATCGATCTTAATTTTGCGCATAAAAGATTCAGTTTGCCAGTATTTTACAGTAAAACTTTAGCAAAAACCCGGTGACAGAGTTGTTTAGAAAAAAATAAATTTAAAAGTGAAGAAACCACAGTTTTCAATAGTTTTCCAAATAAATGATTATAAACTTTCGCTTTTTCAGTTCGGGGAAATATTTTTGGAAAAAGACCCATAATTATTATTAGGGTTTTGTTCACAATTCGAACCAGCAAAAAGCTTTCCAAACATTTTTGCATAGCGGTTAAGGAGACGTGTTCCAATAAAATTTAACTTGCAATTTTTTACATAAAATTCCTGAACATTGTCAGTATTTTAACTAAATAATAATGCGATTTTTGCGTAGAAAGAATTGCTTAATAGAAACTTTGTTCAGACAATTTAAAGAAACTAAATATTTTCCGATAATTTTTTGTAAACTTTTGCTCTGGCCCTTTTTCAAGATAATTTTAATTACTTTCGGTAAAAACCTGAATAAAATTATTTGGTTTTTGTGCCAAATTCGAAGGTGAAAAGGGTTTCTAAAGTTCCTTGCAAACCGATGAATGAGGCGAATTTTCTGGCAAAAATAATTTTGTAATTTTTGGCTGAAAACACATTGTTATTGTCAAAAAAGAAGAAAATCTCAGAAAAGACTGTTTTTTGCGTTTTCGATTAAAAACTTTTACTTGTGATCGGTTTTGGCGAAAAAAAAAAAAGTTTTAGTCTCAAATCAAAGTCAAATGTCTACAAAGTTGTGAATTTTTCTTGTAATTTTTCACATGAAAGACCTTCAGATCGTGAGTATTTTTCAGTGAAACTCTACAAAATGGTGTGTTTTTCAGTAGAAAGCAAAGCAAAAAAATTCAGTAAAACCTTAAAAACCACAGTTTTTTTTAACAAACTCGATAGACTAAAAATGTTTGAATTCAAGAAGTTTTATATTTGCGTGTTTTTTTATGAGTTGCAAAATCCACTTGAACATGACGCTGCTTTTTTCGAAGTTTCTCAAGAACCATTCGAGCCACAGAATTCGTTTTGGCATCGTTGGAT